GAATATCAACCACACAGCCATTCCATGGTAAGATGAGATATTCAGCAAGTCATCTTGCAAATCCCTGATTAACAGAAGCAAAGCTTTCCACTTTTCTTTTTTTCCCTCCTCTCCCCTTCCCTTCCCTTTTAACATGCTTTCATTATTTGAGTTCCATTCAATGTGATCTGTGATTTCCCTTCCCCTCCCGTTTCACAGGCCTGGATTTTCTGGTCCCCGTCGCAGGTTACCTCTGCAGGCTGTGTCACAAATTCTACCATAGCGACTCTGCTGCCCGGCTCGCACACTGCAAGTCCCTGATGCATTTTGAGAACTTTCAGGTTAGACCCTTTGGCGATTGCATGGCCTGGCATTTGTTACCCCCGTGCGTGTCTCTTCAGCAAATCCACCACGTTAGCTGTCTCGTCTTCAGTTCGTTTCCATCATCCTTGGTGTCCATTTTGCCATAGTTTTCTCCTGGTGTGTTCTGTGTTTGTCTCCCATCACCCCTGTAGATCTAAAACTAGTCCAGTCCTGCTTCCCAGCTACTGCTGCTGTCATCTTGTTGCCCATTTCTGGCTGGAAATCTTCCTCAGAGTGTCTGCTCTGTTTGCTGAACCTGTGGAGTCTGTCGTTCAGTCTAGGCCTCTTCTCTGTTAGACAGATTACAGGTGGGTCAAGACGGGGAAAGAACAAGAGCCGGAGGTTGTTCCTTTTAAAGAAGGCTGGTACATAAGCATCTTTTTATGCGATACTGCAGGAACAGCTCCTCTAGCCAAAATTGCGGGTGTGATTCATCCCTGAAGGGGTCTGGTAAAATCAGATACTCACTTTAGAAATCCGGAAATTTAACATTACAGACTTTACGTGATGGAAGCTACAAGCTGGAGAGTCCATTTAGTCCCCAGGGTCAGCCTGCAGCAGGAAGTCAGTCCATCTGTCTGTCTGTCTGCTACCCTTTCCTAGAAACTCCTTAGCACAAAGCTCTGCCAACTGATGCTGTTCCTTTGCTTTACTGGCTCTACCTAAAGAAGCCGTATTGCCCTTTGCTGCTTTTGTATCTAGAAGCTTTTTCTACTGGGCTGGCCTGGAATCTGCCTCCATCGTTCTGTCCTTGTTGACTTGCCAGGGGGTGAGGGGCCTGGATTAGTACCTTGTGGCGGGTACGCAGGGCTTGCACTGTCTCTGCCCTCTCCTGTGACCACTGCTTGGGCTCTGCCTGTGCAGGAGAGTGGTATTCTCTGACCTTGGCAAAGAGGGAGGCTCCCACACTGACTCTGTCCTCTGCCTGCACCCAAAACCTACTCCAACAAAAGCCATTGTGCTTCCCTACCACAGATGTATCCAGCTTTTGTTAGAGTTTAAGAACAAAGAAATCTTAGTGTTTTTCTGGTAGTCTTCAGACAAATTAACTATTTCTAGTCAACTGTCACTGCCGCCAGCAAGCGTTGCAGAAGCCAGCGCTTAGAGCAATCGATTTGGAATGGCGAGTAGCAGAAGACCCACCACAGCTGTTCCTTCATGGTTGCTCGTCCTCTCCCACTCCTGCAGCTAGTCATTTCAGGAATGAAGGAATCAGTCTTGCAGTTTTCCTGGCTTATTTTAGATCAGCTTGGAGTGAAACTGCAGTAGCACTGTGTATGCCTCCCTTTTGGCCCACTTAGAGCTGAAATCAGGTGCTTTTCAAATGGATGCCAGAGTGACCTGGAGGGATTATTTATGATGAGTCCAACCTTAAATATCTGCAGGCAGCTAACTATTATTCTTGGCTGCCTGGATGCCTTGAGGTTGTCAGAGTCTGAGTTAAATAATTGCCAGTTTCTGGGGTACTCTGATGAGAGTAGCTCAGCAGAGGGTTTCAAAGCAGAGAACTGTCTGCTGGTGAGGCAGTTCACAGCATTGCTCTGACAACAAATTGGCACACTTGCACCTGGTTTAGTTTGGGTACAAGGTTATGACTTGACTGATCTAGTTCCAATGTGTTATGTGATACTGCGTGTATCCCGTTATTTGAGAACAGGGAGAGAGCAACCCTGCAACAATAAACAATTACACTGTAAAGCTGCCTGTCTGATGTGCTGTAATTCCACATTGCAGACTACAGTAGCGCTGCTGAAGGCAGTGGTGAGAGCCAGTGTGCTCAAAATAATTTCCTTAAATTGTCAGGTCTAATGGTAGTGCCAGTTCCAGGAACCCTTTAGCAGAAAGCTGAAAGTGAGTTGATTGTGGAAGGAGCTGTTGGGGAAGAGAGGGAGCTTTGTTTTATTCCTTTAGTTGATGCTCTGTCTGGGACTTGATGTCCAGATTTCTACGGCATGTTAACTAGCTATACAGAGTGACTGTTTTTCTGAAATCCAGTCTTGAAAATGGCTAGTAGCCATTTTAATCTCTTTACAGTCTACTGGTTCATCGTGATAGCTAGTGCAAATGAGTCATTTTATTGATGATGTGCTTACCTTTATTCTGTAGAGAACCTCAGTACCTTGTAACAAGAAGATAGCCTTGCTATCTTAAGTGTCCTGTCAACAGTTCAACTGACTGCACAGATTGTATCAGCAGAGTGAAAAAAAATTTAAGCTTTCAACTGAAGTCTTCCTTTGGCTGATAAACATTAAATCACACCTCTGTAGCTGAGGGCAGTGCATAGCCTCATGTATCCAGGGTACGCATCTAGAGCTATGTCTTGGCAGTAGCTGAAGCAAGAGCTGTCGCTTGCACTGTTACATCTACAAAGTCCTGAGTCTGACGGAGATTTAACAGTTGCCAAAACACGATTTTTGTCTCAGGAGCCACAGGTCTGCCAAGCACTCGCTCAGTATTAAGTAATGTGAGAGGGACTTCAGTTTTTAATATCGCCACTTTTCCCTCACAGGAGCTGACCCTTCTCTGCTTGAAAGCCTCAGCAGCCAGGCCAGGAGAGCTGCCGAGACAAGTCGTGCCCCTGCAGATTCTAGCTGCTGCTCACCATTGTTTTTGTACAGGTTTTCCTGGACCAGCTGCTGCTTGCTGCAGTGACAGTAGTTGAGCTGGGCTTGTCTCTCATGTTGGTTTGTTTGTATTTGCAGAGATACAAGGCAGCGAGGCATCGTGCCACAGCTGCCTACCCCGAGGCTCCTTTGCATTCCCAGGGCTCCAGCTCCCAATTGCTGGATGATCCGAAACACCCTCCCGCTACAACAGCAGATAACAGCAAGATGAATGATGATTATGGGACAGACAAAGAGGGTACAGAGCTGTCAGCCCTGCAGGAACAAACTTCGAGGTCTCCGGAGGGTAAGGGTGAGCTGGCTACCTCTGTGGCAGAGGGCAAAAGCCTAGCCAGTGTGACTGATGACGTATGTGGAATCACGGTTGTAGAAGATGATCTACAGGAAGAGAGCAAGTCCACTACCACTAGTGCTGATTGCCTGCTCCCTGAAGAGAACCGCACCATAGGGGAGTTGTTGGGACACGCTGTGTCTAAGGAGGAGCAGGAGGAAGCCAATGCAGCCAGGCAAAGGGAAGGCACAGACAACTGCCAGGATCCAGGGAGTGGAGGGGGTTTAGGACAGAATGAGGCAGCAAACGCAGGCCAGGAGGCAGCAGCAGAGCCTTCCTCCCTAGCCAAAGGTGAGACAGTCAGTCTTACCTCTGCTGGGTGCAGACGCTCTACTAGGCGCAAACCCAGATAGAGTGGCCTTAAAGGGAGAGCCCTTTACCTATGATATTTGCTGGAAATGTTTATTTTCGGAGTCTTTTAATAGAGCAAAAACCTTCAACTTTACTGCTGTTTTTATTTTAAGAATAAAATAAGCCTGGCTTTAGCGTGTCTAATACAGGATGGTGTTGGTTATTACTTGTACAGCTGGGATACAGCAATTATATGGAAAGACTGAGGATTGGATTGTTGAACCTGAAAGAAGACGGTAATGTGATTTCCACAGGGGACCAAGTCATGAAGTAGATGGATACAGACTTATTTTTCACTAAGAATTCTTTGTAGTTCCTCTCTTGTTTCCTTTCCAGGCAGAGGAAAAGTTGTGTGCCCAATTCTGCTCCTCAGAACAGTTTCCTTTCAAAGATGCACACTCTTGGGCAAGCACTGTGGCCTAAGCTAGGCAAGAATGTGCATCTTGGTCCTTTGCTAATACTACAAGGCTTAATATAGTCTGTTCTCAGAGTGGAGACTCTCAGGAACAAATTTTGTTTCAAACTGGATTTTAATAAAACAGATTTCTTATAAGTAACTTCTTTAACTTTCCAAAAAACTCCTGTTAACTCTACAGAAGTAGAACAGAAAGACTTGCTTCATAGTGCTGGCCCTCCCACAGCAGGCAGGCCCCTCTCTCTTTGCTCTGTGTAGCTAATGCTGTGGTGGGGGCTAACCAGGCTGCTCTGCTTCTCTCTAAAGCCTGAGTCCTTAATGGCAGCTTAAGGAGTTAGGCAGCTTCCAATTATAACAGTCACAAACATCACCCTGGTAGCTTGTCTTATCTGCTTGGAAGGGGATAGAAGTGATCTGGGACCATCTGCCAATATTTCTTGCATCACAGTTCATGTGACTAATGGGGAAGCTGCAGTTTCAAGGCAGGAGCTGGCCTTTGTCACCAGAGTGACACGGGCAAGCCTGGAGTCAGGACAGCCCCTGCCCACTGCTCTTTCTGAGGGGAAGGGGCTAGAGCCACAACACCCCTTGCTTGGATTTAACAGTCTAAAAGAGCAGAAGTCATTTTTCCTCTTTCTGAAGAGGGCCTGCTTGCAAACAACCTGCATGGCATGATGCTTCCTACAACCAGCTTTAACAAGTGTCAGTGCCAGGGTCATGTTGGGGAGCGAAAAGAACCAGCTCTCCTACATCCACTTGTGTGCTTCTGCACCTATTGCACAGCTAAAGAAAAACAGAACGTGGAGGTGAATGGCAGGACGCAACCACGGGAAGGAACAAGTAACAGGCACGAGGTACCTCTTCTATTCAAGTTTTACGTTAAATTGGTGACCAGCAAATGTCCCCCTAGCAATACCAACAGTTTGTGGCCAGCGTGCTAGGCAGGAGGCTGTGATCCCTGCACGTCAGCTTCTGTGTTCTGCTGCTCGCTCTGCTGCTGGAACTCCAGGCGGGTCTGGCGGTTGGACTCCAGCAGTTCTTTCAAGCAGGCGTGTAGATAATCATTCTTCTCCTCCAGGTGATCCAAGCAGGAGTTGATCTGGTCCAGCATGGAGTTTATTGCTGCATATTCTAAAAGAAAGGGAAATGAGAGACTGGACAGTGTAAGTATATTGTCACTGCAGTCAGTGAGGGCAGCGAGAGCCCTTGCAAAACATGCCCACAAGCACTTTGGCTGTGCTTTATCTGCCACCAGGTGTGTGAAGGAAAATGCAACTGAATCCTACATGTGTTTTGTTCACTGATCAAACGAGACCAATGGGAAGCTGCAGGAGTGGCAACGAGACCAAAGGTGAGGTACCTCTGGGCAGTCCAAACCCGTTCTGTGCCTGTCTGACAGCCTTTGATCTCATACGTAAATAGCTGACCACAGGCTGAGTGCTAGCGTGCAGTGATCCGCATGGCAACAGTACCCAGTAAACCTCAAGGACAAGGTAGCCTTTTTAGCTGCCTGGGGATCATCTTTCCTGATGAGTGTGTAGGCATTTTGGCAGTGTGCTGAAGTGTTTGCTACATTCTGTGAATTATTTGTGTAAGGCTCCCAGGCTGGGATGTGCTTCACAAGGGCCTGGCTGTGGTCAGACTGCCAAAACAGCGCGGCTGTGGCAGGAGCAGGGAGGAGCCCAAAAGTGGTGGTAGTAGCACCATTATTTCCAAAGGAGGGGTAAGTGTGGGGTACCAAGTTCAATCGCAGGATTTTCATACCCTGTTAAGGCTTTGGGTGCTTAAGATTAAAACCAAACTCATTCGGGATGATCCTGAGAGCTGGTTCCCTAGGTATAGTTTCTTATTTGCAGCATTTGTTTCAAGTGCAGAAGTGTTACCCTCAGTACAATGGCATTTCACAGTGATGTGTATTAGTACTGTTAATCAGGTGAAGATAGCTGTGCTATTGAGATGTAACACTTGCTTTTGGACTGCTCCAAGCAATATTCACACAATCCTAAAGAATAACAAAAAACAAACTGACAAAAGAGACCAGATAAACCTCTGTTGACAAGTTACTCGGGAGCCCTGGAGGGTTACAGGAGACCCCAGGCAGAGCCAGTCCGATGTTCCTGTCTGAAGCCGCAAGGGCTGAGTGCAGGGAGGCAGACATCAAGCTGCAACCCTCGGGCTGGCGTTTGAGAGGATCGTGGGCTGCGGGACAGGGAAACAGGCCTGCGTGGGTGAGATGAGCCCACACCTCACCGCCTGGGGCTGGCTCTTCTCCACCCGGCTCCTCTGAGCAGCTGGGGAAGCGTCAAAGCCAAGCGTGACACAGGCAGTGCCTGGCTGGAGTGCTGCTCTGAGCTAACGGAGAACATCGAGAAAGTGAGGAGGAAGAGGGTTGAGCCGTGCTGAAATCCCTCAGCCTCGCATGCCCACTTTTACCCCTCTCAGCTGCCCCCTTGGCACTTTTGCAGGCAGAACTGAATATTTAAATATTGCAGTCATTTGCATTATTAAGAGCTAAGGAGAAGGTTCATTATTTAAAAAAAATAATGTTCTTATACTATGGAGCCATTGACAGCAGTGTTGCAACCTTCAATTCTTTGGAGAATTACATGTGTTTAAGCTTGTTCATCAAAGATTGGCATCGCAGGTATATGCAGAGGTGGCATGATGAGCAAGAGCACTGCTGATGTTCTTGCATTTAAAAATCAATCCTACAAACACATTCTTTCCAAAAAGGCGGCATTTATCAGTATTTTGCAAACCCTGTTTCAAGGTACACGATACCTGAATGTCCCTGAGTTAGAGCTCTGTACTTCAGCCTTGTATTTGATGTACCACATTCCAATTAAATGGTGGGCAGATTCCAAGCAGATACCGTAACTACTTCTGACAAGTAACGTTACGCATCAACTTGCAAGAAGCCTATAATCACTGCAGGAGCCTAATTGTTCTCAGAGCCTAGAGCTCACGCAAAGGCTGTATTAGTTGTGCCGCTTTGGGAAGTGAAATTTTTTTAAAAAATTTAAGCTGTAAAAATATTTTATCATCTTCTGTTAGTTGCAAGCTTGGTTTATTTTTGTGGAAATGTAACCACATCCCCTAATGAAAATGCTGAAGCAGGAGTACGGCAATCGCGTTGTTTACTCCTCTGCATTCTTACAAGAACAGTTGCCAAAAATAAGGTTTCCTATTTGAGATCAAGGAAGCGATCCACAACTTCAGCTCCGCGAGACCAGGAGGTAGCTACAGACCTTTACAACCAGCTACTGCGCACAAAGCCCCGCCTAAGTACACGCAGAACAACTTAACGCAGAGACTTGATGTAGATCAGATTTAGTGACTGCCACATCCACTGTGTTTCTTAGCTTTTCAAAAAGCCTGAAACACAAATCACTGATGATGCAAAGCAGTGAACGCTCTTGGGGATCCTCCTGTCACTGCAGGTGGATCACAGCCACAACTGTGAGATTCACCTGCACGGGCCACATCTGGAAATTGAATGGTCTTTGGGGAAACTGCATAACCCAACTCTTCACCATTTTTGAGAGAAGAGTGGTGAAGTGCTAGCTTGAAAATCTTTGAAAGATTTCCAATTTTAAGAATGATCCACACATGCGCATTACAGCTCTGCCGTTGTCACATTTCCTCCATCGGCTCTTTCTAACAGGCCAGGACAGTATCAGAAATTCCATACCTAGGCACTTTCAAAATGCCCCAAAGTGGAATCTGCCAAGCTAATTGCATTAAATTCATTTTTCCCACCCACGACTTCTCCCAGATCAGCCCACATGATCTGTCCTGCGGTTTCAAAATCTCAACGTCCTCTTTCTCCTTCGTCATCTGCACGCTGTACACCGCCAAAGGCGCGGAGCGATCTTTCCACGAGAGAAAACCGAACACCACAATACCCCGAGGCAGCAGGCGGGAGCTCAGCACCCCATCGCTGGGCAGGAACCATCCCGGCCGCCCCGTAGCCCCTCACCTCCCGCCACCGCGCAGCAGGCACACCTTTGACATCGGACACCGCTCCCAGCAGAACCGGCAAAACATTGGGGAACACCTGGGCCTCGTCACCCGCCCCAGCA